AGACGAAGTCACAAGATTAGAATAACCAATCGGATAAAAAAGAGATACACCATTTCAGATGCCTATAAACCATACTCGACGTTGTAAGTTGTACAAACTCCACTCCTGATATAAGAGCCACACAATAAATCGAATAATATAACGATAACACATAACGATCGATGAACATGTCCACCCCCGTAAGGGGCAACTGTATATCAATAGTAAACCAGATGATCATCGTAGCTGATTTTACTATAGAATAAAGGGCAATAAAATTTTTCTTAATACTAAAAAATTACAATTAGTATAATAAATTGTAAATTATTTTTAAATAATCTTAATTTTTAAAAAATATAAATTGTTATATTCAAAATGAAATAATGTTTAGAACCTTGGTTTTAATCCAACTTCATTCAAATCTTGAAAGACCTACTCCTGCAAAAAGGTAAAAGCCAAAATCAGATGATTATGATTATGTATATACATATCAGCATGTACGTAATTACTAACACTAACATTAATGCTAATATCGATACTGGTATTGATTTATTTTTGTTTAGTACATACATACTTTCAATGCATGTGCTTAAATTTATCATATGCGGTAACATTAAAAGGTTCAAAATTTTACAGCAATAAATTTTTTAATAGCATTTACAAAGATTTTTATAAGGCATAATGATAAATGTTCTTAATAGTATTAATATTTTTAAGTTCAAAATTACTAAACTAAACTTTTAACTTGTAACAGTCAGAATATAGTTTAAACTAACATTAAACATTTTTAAGCAAACATATTTGTATCTATAATGAATCCGTTTATTGTAAAAAATAAAAAATTTTCAAAATTTTTCGATAGAAAAGTGAAATATATAAGGATCCAGATTATGAGTATACTCTTTTAGATGATAGTCATTCAGATGTGCAATCTGAACTTTCTTGTAATTCAGTTAATATGATTATATCAAGAAATTTAGTTAAAGGTAAAAGCTCTAGTTTTATAGAAGGCAAAAACTTTACTTTTACAGAAGCCGTATCAAATTTTATTAAGACATATTCAAATTCAAATTTAGTTGAGAATGGTAATCTTGAAAATAATATTGATTGGCTTGACTCTAAACTAGATATTACATCTGAAGCTGGATCTAGCAAAAGTCATATAGCAGATTTTGATAATGAAGAATTAGATATAGAAATTAGTAATCATAAAACAAATGAAGTTTCAGAACAATATATTGTGTTGGACTTTATAGATAGAAAAATTCAACAGTATCCAAATTCAAGATACTGACCATTAAAACAATTGATGAGTATTTGAAAGTTAAATTTTTCCACTATTGATTTTATAATAAAACAAAGTCAACCAAAGATACTAGAAACTCTTAGTATATGTCAGTCGCATTTTAATTTTGATGAGGATGGCTTACATGAATGTGATATAAAACAATATATATCAATCAAAAAATCATTGATTCACAGATGTCGATGTCTTTTTTGTAATATCAATAAATATTTTTTTAGCAGAGGCAGAAGATGTAAAACACATTCATGAACTGTACTAGGGTGAAATGTACATTTACTATATATGGGCTTTAAAAATTGCCCTGTATTCAATAATGAATCATTGTCCAAAAAAGCAACAAACAATATACAGTGTCATTTTATTTGTTCTGAATACTTTATACAAGAGGGTGGTCATTTTTATTAGAGATGTAAAAGAGGAAAAAATAAACTACCAGAATTATGTACAGATATTCATACTGAAGACAATTCCAAGTCATTGAAATTAATAGGAAGACGGTTAGTTAGTATATCAAATACTGATAATAATAATATAAAAAATAAATTATTGCATGAAATGACAAATGCACTTATTAATATATTTAAATCAAATTATGATAATAGCCAATCTGAAATTGCTGAAAATAATAATAATCAACTGCCAACACCAAGTCAATTACTTTTAAAAATAACATTACATTTTCAAAATATAAATATAAATAAACTGAGTAGTCAAGAACATATCAGTATAATGATTAAAAAATAACCTAAACAGTTTGGTCGAGCACTTGGACATTTAATATGGAAGTCAAAACGAGATATAAAAAAAATATTTATTATTTAGAAAATCCATCATCACTTCAAGAGTATAAAAACAGCTTTTCATTAATAATAAAAAACTTTTTTAATAGTATGCTCGATTATATACAATATCAAAAATAAAATACTGTATATAAAAAACAACAACAATGTAGAATTATAGAACAGGGTATAATTTAGTAAAGACTGAAAAATTGCATTGTTTATAATTTCTGTTCTGTTAATTGTTACATTTTCAAGTGTAAATATATAGTTTACACATATATTAAGTTCTTTATACCAAAAACCTTCTTATTAATCATTGTTATATGCTGTTTTATGTATAACAAATGAAGTTTCACATACCTCTAGACATAAAAGGTAATTAGAAAAGATAAGGCAAAAAAATATAGATTCTTGTCAAAGGCTATGGAAAGGTAACAATATATTAAATATGTATATTATAGACAATATAGACTTAAAAGAAAAAACATTTACTTATGACAATATATTTGATGCTAAGAGAAAAACTATGCATTGTATTGTATAGATAATAATTCAATATAAATTTCCAAAACCCTTATCAGAAGTAATTTCTGAAGATATTTCTAATATTGATAATGATACAAGTTTTAAAGTTAGCTCTTCTTTATATGTAAAAAAAGAGTTACTTCATTGTTTTAATTTATTTAATAAGTTGCTTAATAAAAGAAACAGAGTTTTTGATATACGAGACATTATAAAAGAATATGAAAATGAAATAGAATCTAATTGCTATCTTCTAGTGCTGAATATTGTAATATTAAAACCAGGCAATAATCCTAATAATACTGATGATGTATATAATGCTGCTTGTATATATAGAAATGATATTGAAAATGACAATATTTATTTAACTGCTGATGAAGCTATTTTCAGACATTTAGTTTCTTTAAATGAAACACATCCAGGATTTCGCTTTTTATTAGGTGGTTGGCACACTAGTAAAAATATGTATATAACACTTATTTCATTATTTTCTGAATATAGAATTTATAATTTAGCATCAGTTCTTGAAGTGCGTTATTTTGACAAATTTGCAAAAGTTGTAAATTATCAAGCTGTATCAAGAGTTATAATATTATTATGAGGTGGAGTAAAAATTGCTTTGCAAAGATATATTAAAAGCTGTAATGTAACTATAGATAATATTATATCAGGTAATAATAATGTCATAAAAGTCTGGTATCTATTTTTTTATTATACAGGATATTAAATAGGACATAAAATAGGTATTAGACATGGAAACTGAAATATGCAAGTTGAAAACTTGAAAGCATTTACTTCTTTTTTTGCAGTAACAGGTCATAGTAATTATGCTCAATCTGTTATCTTTTTTTTTAATAATTTATGTCAAGATAGATTATTAAGTATTTTATTAAGTAGAATTTCATCAGTTAATATAACAAGACCTGAACATTATTTTGCCTATAATGAGAAAATAAAAAGGGTTGGCATAATGTATATAAAACAAAATATTGGTAAAGTTTTAAGAATGGATGAAGAATTAAAATTACAAATAATATCAGTTCAGGCAGAAAGCTAACATTTATCAACGGTATTAAATCAATTTGTAGATGAAAAATTATTTACTACTAATGATTATATTTTCAAATATGGCAACCAGTTTTATGAAATCTTTCAGATTTTTTTTTGGATGCTTTTTTAACCCTAAACCTGACCAAATATGAACTTTTTCAAAACACTAGTCAAAACTATGAAAGTGAATTTAATAAATTGTTTTCATGTTATGAAAAAGATCAGGAAAGAATTTACAAAATATATCGACAAGACCTTGAGAAATCAGAGGAACAAACAACATCTGGACATAGAGCTCATGATGTTGTAATATGTCCTATTAACATATAAAAAGAAGGTATGTCAAACAAAAAAAAATAAAAAATTAAAAAAAATCAAAATGAAAAATCTTCAGACAAAGTATATAAAAGCAATTCAGATTTTAATTATTCTGAAATGCAAAATTATATGAATAAATGTTCTATACAATAGAATGAGGTAAAAACCTTCCAAGTTTTATGCTACTGAATTTTAAAAGTGTCTGGCTTCTGCTTTACTTGATCCAAATTTTAGGTTCAATAATCAGAGTTGGACCTAAATTGGATTTAAAGTCTACAGAATTATTACAATCATAATATTTGACAAATTTTAAAAAATTTTCATTAAATAAAATATTAGGATTTATAGTATAAAATTATAGAATTAAATTTATTGCTAAGTTTTGTATATTACACTTCTTACATTTTCTACTTTATAATTTCAAAAAAATTTATATTTTTGGTATTTTGGATCTTAGTACTCTAATACTATCTAAGCCAATATTTAACATTAACATTAAGAATTTGACTAAGTTTTCAAAAAAGGATTTATACTCTAGTTTCACATAAGAATTTATTTTTTTATTCCACCAACAATAATGATAATTGATTTATACATATCTGCAAAGGATTTCTCGTAGTTCTTTAACTTATAATAAACTTGAACTCAACATTTTAATACATCTTCATTATAACTAATTTCTAAAGATTTAATTAAATCTGCAAGAGAATCTTTATATTTATTTAGTATAAAATATGTTTTTTCTCACAAACTTACTGTCTTTGTATTATTTGGTTCATATTTTATTAATTTATTTAAATTTTTAAGAGATTTATTATAGCATTTTATTGTATAGTACATTTAGTTCATTAACATTTAGTTGTTGCATGATTTCAAGTAGCAATTACAATTCTTATTATGATTGTTTATAGTAAATGAGCATTGTCACATTTATTAGTTAAATGCATAAAGAATAACATTTGAGCAAACTTTTCAAAAATTTTACGTAAATATAATTATTGTTGTGTACTATTACAATCACTAGTTAATTACATTGAGGTTGAGGCTTGAGAACACTCAATGTCAAAAAGATGCTTTTTTAAACAAATATAATTTATTGATTGATATATAACTTTGAATATTTTTAGATTGTTATTATTACCAATGGTCCAAAAATGATTATAACAGTGTAAATGATTCTACTAACTTAAATACAAACAAGAGACCAGTGAGTGGCTTAGATGAAAGAGGTAGTTAGATTTGTCAAGTTTAGCTAGCTTTTCTGATAAGTATTCTTCAATTCAGGTTGTTCTTTCTTTAACTTACTACTTAACTAACATAATTCTTTACTCTACTATTAAAACCACAACCAATTTAGTACATTAAAATGGCTGGAATAATTGTATAAAGTAATTTACATGATTCAATAATTATGGCTCTACTACAGTACATTGGGTTTGGGCCAGAAATCAAGAGTTGAAGTCATGTATACAAGACAAGGTTGGACAAAGATACTCAATAATAGAATGGGCAATATAAAGTTTATTTTACTATAGTGTTGTAAGGTAGTAATGGGACACTTAGTATTGAATAAAATTTACACTTATAGGGTACTTTAGTTATACTACATGGAACTTAATGCACCAAGGACCTTAATGGCCTTTGTTTATGTCATTTATATAACTTATACACTATCTAATTTGTTGAATTTATCTAACTTATCGAACCTATGCCATATATCTAATAAATGTGTATTATATTGCAGCATCAAAATCAAATTTGGGGCTTACACTTTGAGTCTTAAAGCAAAACCCAATTTTTTGGATGATGTTTGGGTTATTTAACTGATCTTGGTGGTTATGCTAGGGTTGTTACAAATGCATCTGAAAAAATATATTTTACCTTTTTGCAGGAGTAGGGTTTCAAGATTTGAATGAAGTTAGATTAAAACACAAGGTTCTAAACATTATTTCATTTTGAATATAATAATTTATACCTTTTAAAAATTAAGGTTATTTAAAAATAATTTACAATTTTTTATACTAATTGCAATTTTTTGGTATTAAAAAAAATTTTATTGCCTTTTATTCTATAGTATAATGATCATTTGGTTTACTATTGATATACAGTTTCCCCTTACAGGGGTAACATGTTTATCAACTGATAACGAGAATATTATAGTATGGTAAATTTAGGTAATGATCATCATCACAAATGCATGCACACAAAGTTAGAAAATATAAGCATTTAATCAAATGTCTAGAATTGCAAACTTCACTTAACTTGCTATAAAACCATATACTCTATATTTCATACTCCATTTTTGATATAAGATAGCTGCACAATGTTATTATGCAAAACCAAGAACAAGAAACATAAAGAGTATTGGCATTGCATGTAGTAAATACAGTATATAGGTTGTTACATTATTGGGCATATGTAGTGATATATTATATATACAGTACACTATGTACTGTTAATTAGCATAATTGTAGCATAATGCATTGACTAGAGATAGAAAAATTGAATCTACTGCACAGGCTGTGCAGCCTCAGGTTTCATATTTATACATATAAAATATCTATTTCATATATGTAAAGTTGGGCTTCCATTATTTTTAATTAGTACTCCAAGGTTAGTTTAAATGTTAGTTTTTGTTGTTTTGCATTTTTTTACTTTTTTTTTGCATATCAGTGAATTTGCATAATTTGGTAAATAGAAGAACTCATCCTTAATAATTCTGGTCAAATTTGCAGATCATTTGGCCAGATCTAGAATAAAACATCTTTAAATGTGGTCAAATGATCTGCAAGTTAACTAGAATTATGAATAATGGATTCTATTAATCAGGTGATGCAAATCTGTTTTTCTTTCAGACTAATTTCTAATTCAAACCTGGATTATAAAGCTGATCAGAATTATGTCAGCTGGTCAGAATTATGAAAATTGCACTATGCAACCTCAAAAAATGCCTGCGCAGTATTCTATCTCTAGCAATGGCTTATTCCTAACTGTAGGTACAGTCACAAAATTTTGCTGTTCTTTAGTATAGTACTATATGATTATATAAATATGTACAGATATATAAAAATTGAGTAAAATTTTAATAGTATGCATAATTAATATAGGTTTATAAAATTAATTTTTACAAATCTATTATCTGTTTAGTACATAGATGTGTAAATTATTGGGCATAACTAATAAATATTATTTAATATAATTATTTAGTTAATGCTTACCTGTTATACTAATGATTTATCACATAATTATATCAAATAAAAGAAGAAGCTTAATCCTTTACAAGTAAATCATCCTTATGTTTAAGGTTAGGATAAATATAAGAATTGTTTTTTTTTTTGTATAAGATTATAGTAAAATTGATTTTTTTGAAATAATTTTTTCTTTTACAAATTGTAGGTACTGTCATGATTTCTACATGTCTGTCCCAATTTGTATTTTTGTATTGTTTAATTCACTATATACTCACATTTATATCATTTAATCAAATTTCTAGATATGCATTGTACAGAATGTATGTGAAAAAAAATGTATCATATAAATGGCACATTACTAGACATGTAATGTAAGGTAGTGCAGATTGGCAAAAGAAAAATAAATTTTTAATATTATATATAATATAGAAACATTTTACTCATCATAAAACAATGCATTTCATTTCTGATATAAGCAAAAATAAGATATAGCTTGACTTTGTTATATTTTATTAAATCCAATTTAAACAAGTTATCTTTTTTTTTATAAAAATGAGTAACAAAAAAGGAAAAACTATAAATTAGTTTACTAATATCAAGATAATGAGTAAAATAATTTACAAGTTTTCCTTTTTTGTTACTCAAATCATGTAATGTATATGAAGTCAAAACCTGTAAGATCAGGAATAAACAATTAGAAAATAAAACATAATTTTAAACCTAAAATGCATACATATATATAAATAAAATACCTACATAGATTTGTATAAGCTATATTAAGCCAGTTGCATTTCAATTATCATATATCAAGCAAAATTCTTGTATTCTTTTTAGCATTGTTCAGAGTACTACACAAAGTTACAAGAATTGATTATTCAATTAGGTCTGAGGTTTGCACATTGACATCTGAATTACATATAAACTACTAGGATAAAGTAAACTATTATAATGGCAAGTGCAAGTCCAAATCATGTGAAAAGGCTGCATAACAAAATTGATAATACAGGCAGAATCTTGTTTAAACAGATAATAACCTAACAATTAAAAAACTATGATAATAAATATATAGTAAAGGGTCATGTTTAAATTAATGACTAAATAAGAAAATTTAAATACTTTAAAAATACAAGCATAATATTAATGCAAAAAATTTATATAATACACAAATTCAGAAATCACAAGATAATTTATAAGTTCAAAATTATACAACTTCTATAACATCTTGGTATATCAATTTTAGCTAACTTTAATGTCTTGTGGCCTAACAATTTTTATAATAGATATCAACTACTAGAACCAATATTCAATTAACATTCCAAATACTATATTTTTAGAAAACAATTTTAAAAAAACAATATACTCTATTTTGAGCAATTATGTATTGCAGACAATAGTATATTACTTAAATGGCATTATCTTTTACCTAGACTTCACAATCTAACAAAAGAAAAGCAATCTCTCTGGTTTACCTATTTGGAAGATACAATCTTATTTGACAGATTACATTGCCTAATCCTTTTCTATTTTTAATCTTTAGGAGTTAATAATTTTGTATATAATATTTTACCAATCAAGAAAAAACTTAAACCTTGGCTACTTACTTATAATAATAATAATAAAGAGATTCTTATTGGCAAAATTCACAAATATCTTCTAAACACAAACCAGTTCTCTATCTCACATTGGAATACAAATATCAACTTAGAACATAATTACTATTATCTACTGTTAGAGATAAAACTGACATCTTATAGAATCTGCAAAATAAACATCATTGTGTTATACTTATCTAATTAGAGTTGCCCATGATAATTCATCTGAAACATGTGTGCCTGGTCCAAAAAGAAGCCATATAGAAGTATACAAGCCTCCATGTGGGACCCTACTATTCCTTCTAATTAAAGTAAGATCGATCTAAACCAACCTGTTGTGCTGAGAATGAATGTTAACTTCACATGCCTTACTTGGGTTAGGTGTGAGGTGATGTCAAAAAGGATGCAATTGAAGACAATATAATAGGTTCTGGCCCCAGGATCGAAAAACTAAAACATTTTTCATTGGTATTATGAAAACTGTAAGAAATGTTAAAGTAATGAAAGGCTGTGTGAAAGAGGGTTAAAGGTTATAACAAATAAGGTTAAGAAGTGTAAAAAATAATAAAGAGAGTTGTGGTCTTGTATGGGCTCTTCTTATGGTAAAATTCATTATAAAAAGGATGAAATTTCTTTCGCCTAAAAGATATCTTAGTATAGTTCAGCATAGTTCAATATAATTTGAATAACCTCTAACAATACACTTGTACTGCCTCTACAAAAAATATTAATAAAGTTAATAAAGCCTTTTTAACTTGTAAAATAAATAAACGCTTCTTTAAAAATCACAATACTTATCTTATAATGCTTTTTAAATGATCACCTTGACCTTGTTCCAAATCATTAAACCACTTCTATTATCTTTGAGGAACTTATGTGGCATAACTATTTTTCTAGCAACAATCCATTATATTTGCTCTCATCTTTGGACTCAACATTAAATCTGTCATACTACATTCAGATTTAAACTGCATACCATGTATCAAATACTATTTTAACTCAAACAGAATTAAACAAACATGCACAATTAACATTTTAGCAACTATCTGTACTAGTTTTCTAGAAAGAAAACTTTCAAACTTAAACTTAATGCTAACTACTATGAGGCCCGATAATGTGACATAAATACTCTGCCAGGACCTCATGTGAGAATGGGTATGATGATCAATTTCTTGGTTTAGATATCCTGGCAATTAATCACATTAATGTAATTAATTAAATAAATCAAGGAAGTGGGATTAATTAAATAAAGGAGATTAATTAGATAAGGTAAATTTATTAAGTAAATGGGTTTAAGTGAATAAATTAGAGAAATCAAATTAAATGGTTTAAAGAGATAAATGTAATTAATGAAGTTATAAGTAAAAAGATATTATAAATAAAGGCCAAAATGGCCCTTTGGAGCAGTACACTTTGTTTGCTTTATTAAACAATAACTCCAATGCACTACATTG